TGTGATGTGACATTTGTTTCTACTTAAACTAACAGTTAATTTTATACAAAAATTTCCCCTCCAGTGGCGCAGCAGTAAGTCTAGAAGCTTATAACGCTAAAAACCGGACTTGGAGGGGGGGGGGGGAGTACAGCAAAAATATTCCATTATATAGCTTTGTGCTTAACAACAAACAAACAATTCAACAAATCTGTATCCGCTAGCCTTGCTAATGAAATCCTTATTAACATTGGTTAATATAAGGAAGTGAAGGTTCGTATTTATAAGCATCGTTAGTGCCTTATAAATAAAACTTTCACTGTGAAATCGAAACCTACAGCGAGAATGTCACATTTAACATATCTATATGTCTTCTGAGCCTGGACACTAGCGGACAGTAATTTACAGAGATTGTTCTCCTATACACTGCAATTCGAACCAGCCAATAGAGAGGACAATGGCCAACAACATGTCGGCTCTGGAGAACTGTTGAAACCGAAACTTAAAATGTTTAGCTTTTATCGGTTAGATCTAAAAAGAATAGTAAAGTTTTCTCCAGGACGTAACAGTTACTTTTTAGTTGTCACTTTAAAAGTTGTTATTGGGTCACAAGAATGTGCAGTTGTTTGTTTGTTTGTAATTAAGCACAAAACTACACAATGGGCTATCTGTGCTCTACCCACCACGGGTATCGAAACCCGGATTCTAGCATTGTAAGTCCGCAGACAGACTGCTATGCCACTGGGGGGGGGGGGCAGAATGTGCAAATGAAGCTGTTGATTAGAATCGTTAACAAGAGTACCCGATTAGAGCAAAAAAAAGGAGTCAACACTGAAATAAAGTGACCAGTAGTTGTGCTAATTTCATATAAATATGTTGTAATACAGTAACAAGAAGCATCATTATATACCCACAGTATTAAAATGTAGAAGTTTACTAAAATGCATAGTAATTATTAGCTAAAAAGGTTTCATGTGTGAAAAAAAACAAAAAAAAACGCTTTCACTAGTTAATAAAAATGTTAAAATCCATAATTGTTTAGGTTTATTTAACTTACATGCACATGCTTATTGTAAAATATTATAGAACATTAAGCTTTAATATATTTTTAGTTTGTTACAATCCTTGTAGCTGTTGTTGGTAATGCAACACTTCTTAGCTCACAGCTTTAACTATGTTTACAATGAAAGTACTATATGTGAATATCACTTACATCTTTTAAATATCTAAAAAATGTCACTATATGTCTGTCTTGATGTCGTTAATTTTTATTTTACCATTTCATATAGATATAGCTGAAGCACAGAGTAAATTGATATGTATTATTTCATATGTCTAGCAAAATTAACGTTTGTTGATCTTATACATATTACTATCTCTCGATCACTGCTATAACTTTCGTATCCCAGCCGGCCTGTTAAGCCCTGATATTTGACGAAAGGCTTCGACGGTACTGAATATCTGGCACGCGGTAGCATTGCCTATGTACGGATGGCTCTGATTGTTCATCGAAATGGTATTTTAAATATCTCCTCGACAGATCATCAGAACTTTACAATACTATACATTGTTTTCTTTTATAACAATATCTATGTAATAACTGAGTCACAAGTTCTGGGAATGTCTGTAAATATCATAGCAAAAAGTTTGAATTTCTTGTTCTTCTTTTAGATTGCATAACTCAACACCCAAAAACAATGGTGTCAACCAAGTTCACTGAGGTTGCATAGTTTCAAACGGAGTAGTTGCTTTTATAAGTATTATTGATAACTAGAAGTAAGTAAAAAAATCTTAATTATGGTGTAAACGATATTATCATTACCCATTGAAATTAGCTTTCTTACAGACATTAAGTGTTCCTGCAAAAACGCTAAGTACAGGGGGAAACAGGAATTACCAGCCAATGATTGATAAACAATAAATATTACAGTTGGAACCTCATTGTATTTAGAACTTGATTATAAATACAACCTCCCTATGTTGATTAAAACATATAATTAAAAAACAATCAAACGAGTAAAGAAAAAACTTGTCAAAAAAAAGGAAGTAAATGTAGGGATTTTTTCTAATAACAAGGTATTAATTTATTGGACACTTCGTGTAAAGAAAAAAACAACAACAAAAAATCCTAACGGACAAAAGACACCGTGAGGCTGTGGAGAAAGAAACAAGTGTAAGGAAATCCTCATGTACATTTAGAAATCTTGACACATAACTGAAATCCTAGCATGAAACCCACATTTCTTTAATTATATGGAACTTTACTTAACAGTTTCCGGACCAATAATGTTATATATAGTTTGAACTTTTGTGGAACACGTATCCCTAGGCGATATCTAGGTAGAATTGATCAGCTGACTCTTTGTGGAAGGTGAAGGAAGAAGAGGTAAGAGATGATAATTATCAATACTGTATTAACCACCGGATAATAAGTAAATAATTTGTTGATATACTGTAGTAAACCCCATGTAATTGAACAAATTTATTATTGTGTGTCATGTTAGGATGTAAGTTATGTACCAAGATTTAAATTTATAAAATTAGTTTCGTCTTACAGTTGTTTCTTTTCTTCAACTTTACTGTGTCTTTTTTTTCAGTTAGGATTTTTGCATTGATGTTTAATGTTTGTGTTTGTACAGTGATGCTTTGGTTTATGAAATTAGCTGACCTAAGAAACTGAAAAAATACTTATATAATAAGCCAAAATGTATGAAATATCAATATAATTAAAGAAACAAATACGCATTTTGAAAATAACGAAAATGTGGACTATTTCAACAAAATAAGATTTGATAAGCTTATAATAGTTCAATATTACAGTAAGTGATGAAAGTTGAGTACGTATAAAACATGCTAGATAAAAAACAAGAAGTTAACACTGTTATATAAACAGGAAAATTAGTGTAGCAAATGCTCTGAATTTAGTTAGTTTTTTAGGGGGGGGGGTTGAAAAAATGACCGAAAATCAAAACCATTCTTCTATTTCTTGTGAGTGTTTTAATCACATAATTACCAGCAGCTGACATCAAAGTTTCTGCCTAGCTCTTCAGGTGACATGTTGCAGTTACGATAATTATTCGTTCACCACCAGTTCAAAGCGAATGAGCGTCAGATGTATTGTATTTGTAGAACGAAATTAGCTCTGACGGCTAAATTGTCGCTCTTTAACGTTTCATCTTTTATTCCCGTTGGCACTTGTTGAAAACTATAACACACACATAAAACCAACTACAATCAAAGTGGTTACGAGTTAGGCTTGAGCAAAAATTTACTGCCCTATTCTGAGCACGACTCCTGGCCTATGTTTGACTTACTAAATACCTTTTGGCGTTATACATTATTTCAAGATGCGTTTGACTATTTTAACAGGATTATTTGTGTGTGGAAACGCTTGCTAGTCCAGACATTAATTTTGTAAGTTGTATTATCAAACTTAGTTAAAATTATCATAACTTTGCACAATTACCCGAACACTAGTTAAGCCTTCAGATACTACAGTTTTACCATTTGATCACGAAACAGTAGGATCTACATTGTTGTAAAAAGTTCTATAAGAATTACCATGACTGTGAATTCATTTATCTTTAGTCCAACTTATATTGCTACCTATAGAAGAATAACCGTTACTTTGGACGAATGTGTGTCTACACTAAGAGTACATGTGATGTTCTTAACAAAACTGATCTTCGCTGGAAACTTACTTATTGTTTATCCAAGAAATGGTAACTGTTTCGAAGATAGTTCCTACGGGTGATTTTTTTTAAAGTCGCGTTTATTAAAAGCACGCGCTTTCAGCATATTTTCTGCATGGTTGGCCACATTCAGAGGAAAATATATGAAATTCAATATTTTTTTCGTGAACTTGTTTTAAACAACTGTGCATACATTTCAGGTAAAAAATATTTAATTGTAATTGTTGTCTTCGTGTCAACCAACCTTTACGTTTGCTCTTTTAAAATTTCTCTCGTGACTGTGAGCGTGGTTTCTTTGTTCCCTTCCACCTACAACAATGTGGCACTGCCGTGGTGTGGTGTTCAGGCTGACAAGTTCCTTTTCACGAGCATCGTGTCAATTTCACAGAACCAATCATTGTATTATCTACACCCACTCACGCAGAGGCGGGGCCTTTCTCCTCTTCCATATGTTCGTGATTCTAAAAGTTTTCGAGCAATCTATGTAACAATTTTGTGAACCACGTACACTACTACGTAGTTTTAACGTAGTCTCATTTAGTCCTTGCATTATTCACAAGTATGGAAAGAGTAAAAAAATAATTTTATATTGTCAAAATTTATCTATCCGAGTAAATTGACATATTTAAATAATACTTACAGAATTTTCGTACTTAGTTTTCACACTTGTTTGAAACACGAAGAGAGTTTTATATTATCGTTATTTTGTCTCTTGCCATGTTACTAAATTCTCTGTTAGAAACTTCAGGAAAAAACACTGAATAAAATACAAATTTCAGTATTACTGATTTATAGCTATCAAACACTTTAACCATTTGATAAAAATGTCAAACAATTTCAAGAGTTGTTTCAAGAGAATAATTCATAACAGCAGTGTTTTAAAAAGAAAATAATTTTAGAAATGAAGTCAGTACAATTTGTTTATATTGTAAATAGAGAATTATGAATAAAACTTTGGAGTGTCAAAATTAAAGGTGCTCCCTGGGGAATGGGCTATTAAGAGCATTTTAATTAACACACACCTATCACATAAAATAGTCCAGTCGAAATTTGACATTATTCCAGAACTATTTACAATTGATTCAAAAGCAAATAAAGAAGTTCAAGTTCAACTTGTATGATAAACATTAATTTGGAAAACACTGAGATAAAAACTACAAATGTAATAGTGATTTTCCGCTTTATAACTATATCTTATTATTACGTGTAACATATAACGAATGTAAATAAAAACGCGTTTATTATGATTTTCCTGCATTCTGAAAAGTATTAATTTGAAGAGTATTAATATATTGAAGTCAAATGTTAGAGATAAAACAATACTACAGGTTTTCAATGAAACAACAGGAGTTTATTTTCTTTTTTTTGCGGGAAGAGTACACACATGGGATTACGTAAAGGTGAAACGATTTCAGGGCAAACAAAAGTGTAAAAATGGAAAGGTTTGTTTACTTCTAGCGTACATATCAATATCGTAATTTCCGAGGAAAATAAAACATCAGAAAATATTAAATTACTTACAAGGTGAGACGAACTTTCCTGTTCAATACAAATTACACATGAAGTAGATTTTTCTTTTAACAAAATTAATTAAATTTAATGAAATTCCAGTCAAACAAGAGTTATGGAAAGAAGTGGAAACAGAATTTTTTCAACCTCTGATACAATTATATATTTGTACACTAAAGTCAAATGAAAATAGAATATCATTAAAAGAAATAAAATAAGCAAAATATTTTAAATAGTTTTTTATGAAAAATGTACAAAATAGACTCAAACATACCCCACGGAGTGAAAATTACTCATAAAAGGTAGTTAAAGAAAAATGTGAAACGCTAGGAGATGAAAATAGCAGAGTGAAACATTATGTTAAAATATCGGTTTACAGATTTATAACATGACCTTTTTTTTTAGTAGAGCAATATTATTTTATTTTATTAAAAAATGTACTTAGCTTTTTTTCAAGTAACTTAGAAGCCGTCAAAGGATAAAAACCAACAACACGGGTTTGCTCTCTCTCCTATTGACATAAAATTATTGCTCGAAAACTATTTTCTTTAGAGCAGCAGTTACAAAAACAGAGCAAGTGCCTTACACAGAGAGCTTTATATACATAATAATAGGATAGAGAGCTTTATATACATAATAATACGATACAAAATTAAAAAAGGACATTTACAATAACATACATATCTCTTAGTTCGTATATATTATCATGTATTTTTAATGATCATACATAACAAGAGCTAAAATAAAATATATAAAAAACATGAACCGGTATAATTTTAAAACATAATGACAGTTGTTTTTTTTAAGTATGTGTGCCAACACTCTATTAATATACAATCTAGATAGATGAAAAAGAGTATACACCAAATAATACAATAGAAACAAGTAAGTCTGCCACAGAACATGAGCTAAAAGTATTAATAACGATCAGTTTCACAAAAAAAAACACCAAAAAACAGAATAGATGTATTTGAAAATTATGAGACAAAAAAAATATTGGTCAAGGTTTCAGTCAAACAGTTTTCAATTAATCGAGAAGAAGAAAATGTTTCCTTTCTCTTTTCAACTATATGATTTTCACAGAAAAGGCTGTCTTCCCTGGGAGAATCATCCTAGAAGCCATATAACTAAAAACTGCTTGGCTCAGTAACCAGATTAACTCAAATTATCATGAAACATTTGATATGCCTGTGCTACGTTTAGATAAAAAAAAACTGCTAACAGGTTTAGTAAACAAAAACAAATTGAGTGTAAGTTCACGCTCGTTTTGGCTTCTTGATTTCTTAGATTTTTTGTTTTAATGTTCGTTTGTATATAACTAAGAGTCTTGAGTTTCATACACGGTGAGCACAGTTAATATCCAAGGCCAGTAGCTCGTATAGAGGGAAAAAGTTATCTGCTTCGATGTATCCCAGGATTGTTTATGAACAGCAGCATGGAGAAGTCAAACGTCCACTTGTAACAACTGAACAAAATACAATTATTAACGTAAAATTATATTACATAAACACATATATATGTAAAGGAAAATGGCGAATGATGTGTTAATAAAAAAACATAGACATATAAAAACATAGGTTAAGTTGTTACTAAGGTTAAGTAAAATCACACCTAGTTATGTAGTATATGAGGAGATAAGAAGCGAACAAATATGCGGAAACATGGAGGAGAGTACACAAGTACGAGAAAAATATACAAGATGGATAAACTGTGTTGGTTAGAAATACAGGAAGAAAGACAACAGGGAAAGAGGCCATTAAGAGTATTCAAAATATTTTCACAGAAAAAATATGAAATATGTAATATAGAGGACAATATGTATCTATGATAGTGTATAACAGATGTGACGGATTTATTATTCTATATTTATTTTAATATCAACGTTTGTTTAGATTAAGTTTATCTTTAGAAATATGCATAGCTTATAGTGATAAATATGTATTGCGAAACTCCCGCTTATTCTCCAAAGTTGTAGAAGATTTTCGAGAGCAAGAATTAACAATATATATGTGTGTGTACGTAAACGCTTGTGTTAACGTCAGTATTGTTACGTAAAACTGAAATTTCGAGAAACTCTCCACACGCCTATAAATACAACCAATGCGCCGCGCTAAAAAAGAGTATATATCAGTAGTTTGCAAAAGTTAGTGTGCTATAAACTTCGGAAGCTATCACTGTGATTGTTATAACGCTTATCAATCGGAAAATTTCAGATATTTGACCGGGAGCATTTACAAAGTTCGAACATTACAAATCATGTAACTTCAGTGGGTTCTCATTGGACATTGGTATTTTTACAAAAACATTATATAACGTCATCGTGGAAAACTCGGCGTGTATGACTGGTG